TTGTTCTGTGGGTTATGTGATCCTTTATATAGGAATTCTAAGATATTACACATGATCTCTATGTTATCTCGTTAAAAGTTTGATGCTTTTTCCATGTATATATTGGAATTGTACAGTAACATTTATCATTTTACAGTGAAATAACTTCATGATAGATAAATGATACCAGTTTGGTTACTAAACTGTAATATGATTAATAGCCAATCCATGAGAAACAGAAAACATGAATAGCATAAAATCAATGTGAGAACTTGGATGCACCAATAGACAAGTATCATGACAAAACCGAGAAGTTACACAACACTAAAAAGGATCACAAACTACTCTAATGATAACTACACATGTGACATTGTGTATCTTCGCTGGACATTAAAATAAACTAAGGGTCATTCTAAACATGTTGTGGTACTAACTTGATTAGCTTGAAAAGAGACTGCTCCCCATCATGAAAAGTAATAGTAGCATATCATAAATGTTCTCCTGCCCACTCCCCTTGCAAAATAAAAAGGAGAGTAGGAGAAACATGGAAGACTTTGTGATCTTTTTTTTCAACTACTCTGGTTTAATCGGCAATTCATCTTGTGAAGCCCTGACCATTAAGTTCTGAAGCTTTCTTAGCCTACAACTGATTAGACTTGGTTTAAATGCTGACTAACGATTATGTACCAAGAGAAAGCCTTATAAAACACTTTCTTGCAGGAAAAGATAAAAGGAAAAACAAGGCTCATGCTTGTTTTTTTCCCTTCCAAATTACAGATACATCCCTCTGCAAGCAACTCCTTGTAAGTGATTGAAGAATAATAGTTTGAACACGGTGTCCTGGCTTCTGGTGATGAAGATGTATGAGCTCTTTATGCCTTTGTTCCTGATTGAAGCCCATTGCTTCATTGAGCTACTAAGTACATGGTCTTTGTTATTTATTTTTTGCAGCCTCAAAGCAGATGCAGGTGCTCTCACAAATTTTGAGGTGCTTGATTTTCTACGCTCCAGAGGTGCAGGAAGAGATCCTACGCGGGTCATAGTCCCCATTGCACCATCAGAGTTCAAGGTTGGAAGTTACATTATTGAAGTTGTTGTTTGAGAGTATTTCGTTGTGCCCGGCAATATCTAATGTTTCTGATCTTCTAGGTGTATGATTATTTAGAGCAAACTGCTGCTTGCAATCAGACAAGACAAGTGATTGGTGAACTCATGGGAAAATGTAAAAGTATCAAACTGGAAAAATGTAAATGTATCAAACCGGAAAAATGTAAATGTATCAAACTTAAGCATGTTGAGACGGTTAACATCATCAATATCAGGCCATCTTCACTCGTTGAACTTTATCCGGTAATTTCGAAAAGATGATGTTCTTGGTATATTGACTATTTAAACTTGCAGCATCACAACTTGTTAGATGTCTATGAACTGTGGTTTTATTGTTGCACAAATACTTGTAAGGAATGGACAATATCGAGAAATGACCTTTCCTCAATGGATAGGAAGTAGGAAATAGAAGATATGGTTTATTTACCTCATCTAATTTGAGCAAATAACAATGGTGCATCAGTCATGTTTTAGTCATTAACAATGATTGTTGGGATCCTTGGGTATGTTAAACTGCAGAGGCGGAACTATCATTAACATGTTATGTTTATTTTGCTTGAGGTTGTGACATATATTTGTTTCTTCTTGACGTATATCAGATATTAAGGAAATATGATGCCCATCTTGAGGAAGTTGCAGAAACAATGGAAGAGCTTGTGGAAAATGTGGTGCAGCTGTTGCCGCCTTCTCCAACTCAAATGCAGTCTGAAGAAGGAACTGCGCCTACAGACGAAAAAGAAGCTCCTGATGGAGAAAAGATAGAGGCTGAGCCTGAAGTAGACACCAGTGTGTGAATTCTTGAACAGAAACGGTTTAGAATGCTTATTTGCACTCAGTTATCAATCTTGATATTGGCTTGAGGAAAAAGGAACTGTTTTAAGACAAGAATATTGTTATAATGAAGTTTGAATGTATATCATAGGTAAATGACTAAAAGAATATCTTTAATTTATTGAAAGTTAAACATGCTCATATAATTTACCAATGATTCGTGGAATTTAAAGGACTAAAAGAGCATATTTTAATTAATTGGAAGTTAAATATGCTCGTACGAGTAGTTTGAAACCCCTTGCCAGCAAAAGTAAAGAGTTTGCCTTCTGAGTCGAGCTCGTTGCACCGGACTTGTCTAGTGCGGGTTACTTCTCCTATGTGGTTTGCGAGCTATTGCATAGGAGCGGGAGTTTTATCCTGTGCGCACCCAAAAGGATAAAACTCCATACGACTATGCGCTGGAGAACCATTGGAAACAGATGGTTATATTTTGGATAATGGAGTGCGTTTGGATGAGTTATTCTGGTCGATTTAGAAGCCACTTATCCTACTATAGAAGAATAATTGTTCAGCATATGATATGGGAATTTTGTTTGCAATTTCCCAATCAATCTTTGATTTTGTCAGTCAGTCACTATTAGTTGTGATGTAATCATCATATTGTTAGGTTGGCATTAGTATCTACATAGATGTAATCTTTGATCACCGATATCTTCTTTCATTTTAAATGCTTCCTTCAACTATTTCCAGACGATATCATCTACATAGATGAGTAGTTCCTTTCTGATAAATAGTGAGTCACTCTCAAGTAGTTTGGCATACAAGGAGGCACTTCTATATCATTAAGCAGCATGCAGGTACTTTCTCAGAATTCTATTCTAGATGAATGCACGCACTACAACTGCATATCATTTTGTCATCCCAGCGGGCCTTGCTAACAAACTTCCATTCACACCAACCATATACTTATAAATCAAGAAGCTGAACAAATGAAGAGCAAACACTCAAGCATACCTATAAATAGCTAAAGTTGATGAGCTTCAGCATGTTAAATAGTAATTGGATCAAAGATAGAATAATACTTACAAGTTTCAGAAAATTCAATACCTATAGCATGACCAGCTCTTGGACTAAACCATATCCTCCTCAAGTTGTGGTTGAGACCATTAATGGTGGTATTGTTGCAGATACTAGACATTATTACCATCACAACTCCATCTGATCTTAACTTTTTAAACTTTGATTTTCATTATATCTTCGTATGACTATTGTTTTTACACTTTGATTATCATTATATGACTATTGTTTAGGATGATTTTTCAAGTTGTCTATACTACTTTGCCATGACTATTTTCAGTTTTGCTGTTTCTTTCTCTATACTACTTTGGACGGTTTTTTCTTGACAAGTGGTAAGGTCTACACACACTTTACTCTCCCCATACCCTTCTTTGTGGATTACACTTAGGTATTTTATGGTGGTTGTTGCTACCTTTTTCATAAAAAAAAAAAAAAAAAAAGGGGTTAACACCTAGAATGTTGATTTGCATACGCATTCTGATTTGAACCAATTGAAGCATATGAAAATATTTTTTATTTCTTATTTAGTGGTAAAATATTGAGATTACTACATGATGATAATTTTTTAAAGAGTAAATTTTAGGTTTAGCAAAAAAAAATCATATTTGTATGCTATAACTATAGTTTGCATAATTGCGCTCCATAGCAAACTCTATCAATATGTATATTTCGGTGTACTTATACAAAGAATCAATTATATAAGTATATATTTGGAATCTGTATACAAATAAGATATTTTTTTTGTATAAAGCGAGAAAGAAATTAAAGAAAGGCAAAATAGAACTAGGCAGGGGAAGATTTGTAATGTATAATTATAAGTGTATAGGACGAAAATGTATGTATTTGTATATACAATTTTCTCTCCCTTTATTCAAACACAAACACAATTTATACATTTGTGTTTGTATAAAGTGAGAGAGGCGAGAGAGAGAGTGGCGAGCGAGATATCTGGGGAGAGAGGCGAACGAAAAGATATGTATTTGTTTTTGTATATACAGTTTTCTCACACTTTATACAAACAGAAACATAATTTATACATTTGTGTTTATAAAGTGAGAGAGGCGAGCGAGATATTTGGGGAGAGAGGCGAATGACAAAGTGTTTGCTATGGATTAGAATTAAATGAAATTGTGTTATAATATTTAATTTTAATTAATAGTTTGCTATTTTATACAATTTTCCCTTTAAAAAAATATTGTCTTAACCTTGAATTTTCTTTAACACATAATAGTTATTTTAATATTAATGATTTAGATTATTTTTTTAATTAAAAGTGTTAATGAGAAATAATACAAGTAGAAGATATACTCAATCAAATAAAAAGACCCGATTCTTTGCCAAATACACATATTGATTATAGAATAATGTTAACAGTTTATTTGTTTCAGCTGAAAGAAGTTTTTTTGAAATTAGAATTGATTAAATCTTCTTTAAGACCAACAATGTCTCAAGAGAGACTGAATGAATTAACTATTTTATCATCATTTGAAAAGGAATTATTAAAACAAATTGATTATAAAACAGTAGTTAATTAATGACTTCACATCTAAAATAACTAGAAAAATAGATTTTAAATAAAAGTATATATGATGAAAAAAATAATATTAGGTCTCCTTTCTTAAATTTTGATTTAGACCCCTAATATCGTTGAGTCGACCCTGATTGTTATTATTGTTCCTTCAATGTGGGTACAAGATACCAAAAGAGAATCGATGAAAAGAAAGACTTAAGAAAGTTTCTTTAGGTTTTTATATAGAAAATAATTGGATGATCAAGTTTATGATATCTTTATGCCTTTTAATCTAGGGTGTATCTATTAACCATTAAATTAAATTATTACACTTGCAAGGAATTTTCTAAGTTGCTTCCAAATTCCTACCCCTTTCATTATCTTCCCTAATCTCTTCACATAATTTTTATATTTCAGCCAACTTGTTACTACGTGATATGTACTTTACAAAAAAAAAATTGACTTTTTATTTTCTTCTAATATTATAATTTCTATATTTTAATTTTCAAATCCATCTTGTCTAATGTCTATATATATATAAAAAAAAAAAAAAAAAGGCATAGCCTCTTCTCCTCCTATCAAGTGTTAATGGTTCAATATTTGACTATTAACAATTGGATATCAAAGGTTTATCCTTTTTTCGTTGTTCGTTCTATCGAGAGTCTGTTATAAACAGTCAATCTCAAAGGTAGAGATAAGACATGTGTAGACACGCTATCCTTTTCATATCTTACTTGTAAGATTATGCTGAATTAATTGTTGTTATTGTTATTTGGATATCGAAGGTATATATAGTACTAGTGAATTTTTTTTCATTTTTTATTACATTTTTTTCTATTTTTCACTTTAAACATATGATTATCTAAATTCCTCTTTTTGATTTTATATGTAGAATAATTTTGGCACAAAATGGATATGGAGGTTGATATGGTAGATTCTTTCATAAGGAACAACCAAGAAAGCTTTGAGTACAATCTGCAAAGCCTTGAAAACAATATGAAGGTATTAAATGGCATATCATTAGAAATTGAGGTACAAGTGAAAGAAGCAGAAAAAAGGAAAAGAAAAAGAAAAAGAGAAGTTGAAAATTGGTGTGAAGAAGTTGGGAATATCAAAAATCAATTTTAAAATTTGAAGAAGGATTTATTAGAAGAAAAATGTATTATTTCAGAAAATTTATGTGTGATTAATTCAAGAGTTGTAGGACTTATTGAGCAAAGTCAACATGTTCATCAAGGCCTTTTGGATGATCAAGATTTCCAAAAGGATTTGCAAAGAATTTGGGCATGTTCATCTATTGATTGTTAATTATTCGGTATTTAAAATTTACTAATTCTGATGAATCAGATTGGTGAGTTTCATAATACGAATGTTTAATTCAAAAAGGAGATGATAATTCTTAGCAAATGATTAACAGAAAGCACTACTCCTCTATTTTCACTATATATATTTTTACATGAAAGGTAGTTTTTTTATCTCATTGTTGGATCAAGATATATTAATTAGCATTTAATGGTGGTTTTAAAATTTTATGTTACAAAATTAGATGCATATACTTCAACTTCATCAAAGTATTGTGGTATATACTTAAATATTGTCATGTATGTTCAGAATATTTCAAGATTTTGATTATTAATCTAGTGAAATAATATTTTTTGTTTTTTATTCAGTAATTTGATGGGAGATCATATTAATTTAGATGTGCCTCGTAAAATCAATTAAAGGGGTAAGACATTATCTCCATATTCAGTGATCGAATTCAAAATATTTGATTAAGAGCAAAAAAATGTATATTCATTTCACTATAACCCTCGATAGTACTTATAAATTCAGTGAACTATTAAACCATAATCCAAAGCACCTATTATCAAACTTTTTTTATTTAACTATATATCGATATATGTCTTGAATAAGCTGGTTCAGGCGTTACAATTATATAATAACAGTTCCACTTGTTCATAATTTGGATATTATTTTTTTGGTTATCTCAATAAATAAGGTTTAATAATATCACCTAAATTAAGACAAATAGAGGAGAAAACGATCAAAATTGCTCTTAATGTATAGAAAATTAATAAGTTTATTAATAATAAGGGAAGTTATATATTTTTGACCGCTCAGAAAAAACTATTATATTTTATAGGTAAAAAAGATAAATATACCCCTGAACTATCGTAAATGGTATGCAGATACCCTCCGTCAATACTTTTGAGACATTGGTGCCCCTGCCGTCCAAAAACTAGAGCATATATACCATTTATACTAACGGACATACACATGTCATAATCTTATCCACCGACCGACATTTATTAAATATTGGATCGACGAATAAAATTGCGCCATGTGTCCCTATTTAGTCTTTCGTTAGAGTGAATGACATATATGCTCTAGTCTTTGGATGACATGGGCATCAATGTCCCAAAAGTATGACGGAGGATATTTGTATACAATTTACGATAGTTCTGAGGTATATTTGTCCTTTCTCCCTATTTTTTATTAGAGACAACTATGCATCATAAATCCTTTAATAGTCAAATTTTTTATTAGTGACACTAAATTATAATAGGTATACACAAATTACATAGTCCCTCCGTTTAAAAAAGAATGACCCACTTTCCTATTTAGTTTGTTTTAAAAAAAAATGACCTCTTTTTTTTTTTTGGTAACATTTTAGTTTTAACTTTCCACGTGACATGTTTAAGGCCACAAGATTAAAGGACAATTTTGTACATTTGACATAATTTTAATTTAAGACCACAAGATGTTGGATATTTTAAAATAATTTAAGACATATTTTGGACACTATTAATTTGTGACATAAGCACTTATGTCATTAAGTTGATGACTAATGTGCTTATGTCATTAAACTTAATCTCCAAGTATTAATCTACTTTGTCCCCAAGTTTAACTCCTTTGTCTCCAAGTAATGCTCCCTTTGGCTCCAAGATATATTGTGTAATATGTTTTCCTCCAAAGCTATGCTCCTCTATATATAGTAGTTGATGGAGTTTTGAGGATAGACAACCAAGTGAAGAGTAAGACTTAGCCAATTTCAAATATCCCCTTTCGACTTGCTTTATTTTGTAGTATTTATATTTTGTTGATTCATGTGTCCTCTAATTTATTAGGGAAGACTTGTTTAATCCTGGGGAAATATTTCACACCGCTGAAATAGTTTCTTAGGACAGTGTCTAGCACGACTCAAGTATTATATAAATATATATATACATATATATTACTTAAGAATATTATTGTAGTAGCATTTATCCTAATTCTTGTATTATTATTTTGATATTATAATTTCCCCATCTATATATATTTTCCAACACAAGATTCAAAAGTCTTCTTTATTTACTTAAATTTTGTGACAAGTTAAACTAGACCACTCCTTTTGAAACGGAGAGAGTATATTTTTTCATCCTTTCAAAATTATACTACATCTTTTACTACTATATTAATAGACGAAATGTAAAATAAATAAATAGGAAACTAGAAATAAAAATATCTTACTCGAATATATTTTTCATTTTAAAAAAAAATCAAATTTATTAGTGTACTCGTGGCACAAGTTTGTCGTAGTCATAATTACCCCATGAAAACATTAAAAAATCTGAAGGGTATTGTGAGAATCTTGAAAAAAGTGCCTTCTTAGTTTTCATTTGGAAGTTAGTTAAATAAATAATCTATCTTCTTTATACAAAACGCCAAAGAAATGAAAAAAATATCACACAACTATATAATAAAGTATAATACAGTGAACTGATAAATTAAAAAAAGGGATAAAAAATTGTTCATATCAGATTCACATTCTTCTTCAACTCTGCTTCAAATCTATTAATTTTTCCAATGAATTGCCTTCAGAATCTTCCCAGGTATATATATTTATATATATATATTCTTTTTTGTTTGAATTTAAACAGTCTCGTACAAAAATGCAGGGTAAGATTGCGTATAATAGACCATTGTGGTTCGGGCCTTAAAAGTTTCGTTTTTTGTTGGATTAATTTACTTTATTTTTGATTTTCAGATCCTCTGGTTTACCACTAAGAAGCTTCACAGGCAATTCAAGGAAGCCTTTTTCCACTGTTGTTTCACTGGTAATGATCATTTATTGATAATTAGATTTGATTGAAAATATTAATTTGATTTTTGTATTGTATAAGTGTAATTGGAAGAAAAATTATGTAGGGGGTATATCTCCATTTTGGTAGAAATTGGCTATACCATATCAAATTACTCGGTACTTGTGCTGGTGGGAGGTAGCAGGTACCTGTAGAATTAGTCGAGGTGTGTGTAAGTTGTTTGGATACCATGTTTGGTAAAAATTGGCTATACCAAATCAAATTACTCGGTACTTGTGCTGGTGGGAGGTAGCATGTACCTGTAGAATTAGTCAAGGTGTGTAAGTTGTTTGGATACCATGTTTGGTAAAAATTGGCTATACCAAATCAAATTACTCGGTACTTGTGCTGGTGGGAGGTAGCATGTACCTGTAGAATTAGTCAAGGTGTGTAAGTTGTTTGGATACCACGTTTGGTAGAAATTGGCTATACCAAATCAAATGACTTGATACTTGTGCTGGTGGGAGGTAGCAGGTAGGTAGTTGTGGAATTAGTCGAGGTGTGTGTAAGTTGGTATGGATACCATATTTGGTAGAAATTGGATATACTAAATCAAATTACTTTCTTTAAGATTGGACAGAGTTACTTGATATTTGTGTTGGTGGGAGGTAGCAGGTTATATATACCTTGTCGAATTAGTCGAGTGGTGTGTAAGCTAGCCCTGGACACTACAGTTATAGGAAAAAAAAGCTACTTGGGGACCGTGTTTATTGGGGTTGTGGAGAAAGTTTTAGCAATTTTTCCTATGGCTTTTCTGCTACTTGGAGCTAATGGTTTTGTTTCTATAAAAGTGTAGCTCTTCTTCTCATTTAACTACACGAGAAGCTAAAGAAGCAGAGAAACAAGTCACGGCTGTGCGAGAAAAATGGAGAGTGTGAGGGTGCTATTGTAAGTTGTGTAAATAAAAGAGGCTATCTTTTTTTGTTTTTTACAAACATGGTGTTCCAGTCAGCTTGCGAGGTACCATATAACTCTGTCCACCAAGTCTTGGACAGATGGAGGAAATCACCTAGCTAGTGTTTTTGCCCGAAAACCTCATAGTTCTCAAACCACTTCATTGACCACTAGTCCACCCCCTTCGGTGCTAAAGGAGGGCTATTTCTTGTGGAGTATTTTACTCAACACTGCGAAGTGGTTTAAAATATTACTTAATACTTTTCAAAGTTGTTGTTGTATCATGCTCATTTCTTTTTTGTTCACAGGGGATGACAAAATTTGCTGATCAGCGTCTAAGTATTGTGGCACAGGTAATATTTGAAACAACGATTGATGATTAGATTGTTTGAAGAATTGTAGAAACTGCTGAATTGTTTTACCTATTCATGAGAAGCCGAAGTGCTGCTTTTTGTTTTCATCCATTAATACATCTTTTTGAAGCGACAGTCTCCAAGATTTCTGCTGTCTGATCTAAAAGTTTCTATGAGATAAATGTATAGATTTGGACTCAATCTGGCATTTCATTGCTTTCACATCTTAAAACTAATTTTTCAAGTCCTAATATGGCCAGAAATGGTGAAAAAATTGGAACCTGCTTTCTGCACCTTATTGAAATTGAGTATGTTATACTCCCTCAGTCCCAATCTACGTGAAGGTGTTACTATAGGGGAGTCAAATAGTTTTTTTCTGTGATAACAATTTTCTCGAAATCTTTTGGATCATTAGCTTTATTGACTTGTAGTAAGCCTAGTACTTCTCGTGTTGTTTTCAAAAAATGTTAATCCATTTCTGAATTGGCATTGGCTTACTTGCTCTCTTTCTAGGTTGTATCTGGTCCTGAATCTAGTACAGAGAAGGATGAGGAAAAATCCGATACATACAGTCATGACATGACTGCAGCTATGGGAGCTGGTAAGTCTATCTTCCTACGCGTTTTTTTTTTAGTTCTATGAACTTCATGTTCTTTTACTTTGAGGAGTTTTCTGATGCATACTTTTTCCGACCCGAACAGGAAAGCTGTTTAACTTATTAGTCTCCTTGACTTATCAAAGAAAACTTATTACATAACTACATTACATGCATGTTAGCTAATAGGTTAAGTTATGCGTTATCGTTTTCTACTATTTACTCTTCTTTGTTTCTCCTTCTTGCCTTCCCCTTTGTTGAAGAACATCCTTTCCTTGTGCAAACTGCAAATCCAAGTTTGCTCTATGTAGACATGATTCAGTTATATTAGCTCAACTCTTGGATTATGACATGCACTTTTAGTCCGTAACTAATCAAGAAATGTTTGCACAGTCCTATTGACTAACTAATATGTGTGGCACTGATATCGTCGCTGACTTTCTTAATGCAGTCTTGACTTATAGGCATGACTTAGGAATGAACTACAACTTCATCCGTCCGGATTTGATTGTTGGGTCATGTCTACAGGTAATGTGTAATTCGTTTTCTTTAAACATAGTATCCTTTTCACTTCTTTTTCTGACTCCAACAAAATGACAGACTCCTGAGGATGTGGACAAGCTTCGGAGCATTGGAGTAAAAACTATATTTTGCTTGCAACAAAATCCAGATCTTGAGTATCCATGAAATATGTCATGATTATTGTTTCATGTCGGATCAACAAATTCATTTCACCCTCAATCTACGATATTCTTTATAAGTCCTTAATTAGTATTTTCTAGATACTTTGGGGTTGATATCAATGCTATTCGTGAATATGCCAACAAATGTGGTGATATTGAACACTTGCGTGCCGAAATAAGGTTAGTTTAAGAGAAAAATGTCAGCAGTGAATGTATCTCTATCTCAGTGATTGCCGCTTGCAAGTGAATCGTTGTGCATACAAGTTCCGAAAATTGAACAAGCATCTTGCTTTTGTGGCTCTATAAAATTATATATAATTTCTACAATGTGTGATGCATGAGGCATTTCGAAAAGTTAATTCCATGAAGCTAATTCACTAAGTAAGTGTATGCTTGATGAACCAGGGATTTTGATGCATTTGACTTGAGGTTGCGGCTTCCAGCCGTAATAAGCATACTGAACAATGCCATCAATAGAAATGGAGGTGTGACTTACATACACTGCACAGCTGGAATTGGCAGAGCTCCCGCAGTTGCGGTATGTGCTTATGAGTTTCTTTATGTTGTCTGACGGCTGCAATCACATTAAAGTAATTGATAGGAGAAGGTTGCTATAACTCTAGCATAGTCCTTAGTTTTTTCTATTACTATTATTTAACACTCTATCAACGAACCTGTGCTTTCTACAAAATGATTTCAACTAATCATGTGCAACTTTTTCTTCCTAGGGTATCATATACCCGTGCCTGTTATTTTCATTTACTTGAGTTTGTTCTTGGCTAATCCATAAACAATAATGTCGATGCACTAATATTCATTACTTGTACTTAACGCAAGACCCTAAATACCTATAGTGGCCTACATCCTCTTCAATATGAAATTTACACTCAATGTCCCTTGGTAATGGACTAATATTAGATTACATGAGCTGTGGTAGTGCAGTGCAGAAGTTTACTGAAATTTCATCATTGTCTGTGGGGCCCTTCTGTGGGCATTGGTCCATGTTCTGCCTTCTTCTAGACCTCAAAGATGTAGGGTGATGATTAGTCGTCTCGGACAATGGACTCTCTGGTGCTTGCAGGGTGCGTACGTAGTAGCCTGCATGGGGAAGTGAAAAACAAGTAGGAAAAGAGGCCATTCAATTGCTGGTCATACTCCAAATAAGAATATCAACCTATTGTATATGTTGAACCGTATGATCACCTCATTCAAATGCTTAAGAAGTTAGAGAGTACACTTTTTTTTCTGATGTTTTGCTTTCAAACAAAACCATGTGTTAGTGTAGTACTTTAGGAGACACCGACCGATCTTTGATAATAAATTGCAAACTGTGTCACATTTCTACAGATATGCACCTTTATGCTGTTTTATTTATCAAATTTATCATGTAACTTCTTGTTTGAAAAAGAATCGTGTACGTAGAAATGCAATCACGATTCGTTGGAAATATTTATTTAAGTTACGTTGTGATTGAACTTACATTCTATTTGGAACTTTGAATTGCAGTTGACATATATGTTCTGGGTTCAAAGCTATAAGCTTAGTGAAGCTTTTGATTTACTCATGGTAATTTTCCCTGTTATGCTGGTTATGTAGTTTCACTTTTTGAAAATATTATTATTGCTGGATGGGATGGCTTGCTATACCACAAGTGTTCTTTGAGAATATTTACTGTGAATAATCGTCCTTGAGGAAGAAGAGTTTGGCAGTAGCCAAACTTATTCTATGTTTATGTTTTATTTTTCAACTCGAACTGGATTTTGCGTATCTTGACCATATCTTCTTGCAGAGCAAACGCTCCTGCTTTCCGAAACTTGATGCCATCAAAAGTGCCACAGCAGACGTTGTGAGTTCTATTGTTGTTTTAACAATTTATCATTCCCGTATTTACCTTATGGCTTTTGGTGTTGGTGTGGGATGCATGGCAATATATATTGCACTTCATCATTTGACAAAGTGAATTTGAAATTTGACGGAGTATCTTCCTGTTTAAAGCTTACAGGCCTTAAAAAGATGCCCGTCACGTTGACATGGCATGGTGATAATTGTACGACAGTGGAAATATCTGGACTTGATATTGGCTGGGGCCAGGTAATATTCAAGTCTCACAATGGTACTCCAGTAGTTGTTTTCTTCAGAATGTTTTACGGTTTTTTCAGCTGACCATAGTATACTGAAGTTCATCATTTTCATATTTCGACTGTCAGTTTCCCCCAACATGATATATAAACTTCAGTTGAGCACTATGATATACTGCTATAGTTTTATAATGAAGTCATAATCATATTACAATAATAATATTATCAAAGATCAATGCACTGTTTACAGGTAGAATTATTCTATGACAATCACACTTCCTGTCTTCGATCTCGTAAGAGTTCTTACTACTTGGGAAAGTACATTCTGGAATAAGAACAACGGTTTCCATTGTTGTAGCGTTTCGTTGCCTTTTACATTTTCTTAAATATGTTTAATGAAATATTCTTCTCACTTTGATGCTACTCTACTTTATTTCATGCTTAATATTAGAGCTTATTTAAGAACGTTATAATGTTTTTCAGAGAACACCTTTAAAGTTTGATGAGGAACGAGGTTTGTGGACTCTCCAGAAGGATTTGCATGTAAGTATGTTGTTTTAGGCTTGCAATTGTTTCGTCCTTTTTCTTTCAATGATGGAAATTGTCGAGAAGCTAGTAAAGTTGTTGCCTTGTGACCAGGAGTTAGGAAACAGTCTCTTGCAGAAATGCAGGGTAAGGCTAATTCCGTAAAGGATGTCATCCTAATGTCGTCTTTATTTACAGGAAGGAATATATGAATACAAGTACATTGTTGACGGTGAATGGATATGCAACGAGTTTGAGCCGATCACTTCTCCCAACAAAGATGGACATGTCAACAACTATGTAGAGGTAAGAAACTGACTTTTCGTGGTTTGGAGAGAAAGGTTCTATGTCTTCCTCTGTTTCGTCCTAGTTATGCCTTCTTCCGAGGAACAATACATTAACGCGAATCACTGACCATATACATATGTTGCAACGATGAGGGCGTTTAGCCTTTATGTCTAATTTTTACGCTGAATCTAGAGTAACGATTCTTTGGCTTCACAGTTATCATCTCTTACCTCTAACGTTCAACTTGGACGTGCCAACAGGTTCTTGACGAAAATCCAGACAACATCACTAGTGTAGCAGTACGAAAGAGGCTCACCGGTGATGACCCTGATCTTACCTCAGACGAAAGGCTCATAATCGAACAATTTCTCGAAGCTTATGCAGACGTAGAATGAAGGAATAGTTATTACTTACTATGCACTTAATAATTGTAAGCAAAGCCAATAATCTGCTATTTAACTCATGCAGTTGTAATTAGTATGCAGTTTTACAATAACATGCTTAATCTTCTTTTTTTGTCTTTTGGGTTTCTACTTGCTTTTACACTTGATTAAATCCGGATTTGCGTCCGAAAAAGTCACACACATTCCTTAACTAAGGTAACTCTATTCCCAGAGCTCGAATCTAAGACTGATCTGGTGAAGGATAGACGAGTACTAGTATCCTCTACCACAATTTTTGGTCTTCAAAGCCCACAATTCTTCTAAATCTTGGGAAAAAGTAAAATATTTGGCCTCTATTCGTTTTACTTGTCCACTTTGGACTTGCTAGAATCTAAGACTGATCTAGGTTAAAGATAGACGAGTACTAGTACCCTCAACCACAATTTTTGGTCTTCAAAGCCCACAATTCTTCTAAATCTTGGGAAAAAGTAAAATATTTGGCCTCTATTCGTTTTTACTTGTCCACTTTGGACTTGCTAGAATCTAAGACTGATCTGGTTAAAGATAGACGAGTACTAGTACCCTCAACCACAATTTTTGGTCTTCAAAGCCCACAATTCTTCTAAATCTTGGGGAAAAGTAAAATATTTGGCCTAGGTTCGTTTTTACTTGTCTACTTTGGACTTGTATGTTGTAAGAAACAATTATTAATATGAGTATTTTATTATAATACTCATATTAATTGATATATAGTTTTAGATCTTGGAAAATGATTTGTGAATAAACAATTAATGTTGGATGTACTATAAAAAAATAAATCTTTTTGATATGTTAAAAATAATAAATAAAAATAAAAATACTTTTTGAAACGGAGTAAAAAGAAAATAATGTGTAAGCACAAGTGTCACAACTAAGACTAATCTATATCTTTTAGATTCCTAATCACATGCTTAAGCATTAATTAGGCGTGTCGGTGATTTTTGTTGGTCTTATTATTATAAAAATAATATTCAAAATTAATAGTGTTAACATTGTAAAATAATGATAACGAACAATAAACAGTAAATTCTCAATTCAGAGTCAAAATCTTTTATTGAAAAAGTAGTACTCTATAGATAAATTTTAAAAGAAATTTATTTCTTAAAACATTATATGAAAAATATCCCCCAAAAAAACTTTGTACTACATTAAATTGAACCAAGATAGATCTAGAGTCTCGTTGATGAATCAATGTGAATTCACTAACTTTTTTATAGACCTTATATATGCATTAGGAAATTTTTAAATATTTATATATATTTAAACGTGAATTAGATTGTATATTAACTTGAGATCAATATAAAAATTTCTATAGTTTACTTTCGAATCATGCCTCAAAAACAAAAAGAAGTTGATCCTAATAAGCATTGTAGTTCATTGAATTTGGGAGAAACAACTTTGTTATGGACAATTGTTGCGGTATTTCTTCTGTCGATTCACTTTGAAAGATTCTTCTGTTGAGATTCACTTTGAAAGTATTACCTGAACTTTGTTGACCGAATATGATAAAACGATAAAAACATAAAATTACAACACGATGTCGTTTTTTTCATTATTCTAATTTTGATTTTTGTATCATGAATTTTGAGTCGGGCTTAGGATCAATTGACACTAGATAGAAAACGTTTTCGATCAAAGCTTTTGAACCTATTCTGAAGTCACGTTAGAATTTGATTTTCAATTCAATTGATATTCAACATCAGCTCTACTTGATCATAAGTTCATAACTCCAATCCATTCCAATTTAACATCCTAAAAAAAAATATTATACACTCCAAATCCATTCGATAAAAAAGTAAAATTCAAATTTTAAATCCATCGAAATTTTTGGACCACAAACTCAATTTCCAGATTATGATTTTCTGTTATAGTATTATTGATGGTGAAATATTTTCTGTTTTTGTTTCAATAATTAATGGCACAAGTACGTTATTTTCTATTAATAAAAAATAATGGTGAACAAAAAGATAAAAAAAACAATTTTGTAACAAACTTTTTGCACGGTTTCACCAAAAGTATTAACTTTCTACTATGTATAAAATATATAGATTTTTTCAAATTATTAGAAACAAAATTATTTATTTGTAATTATTAATTTTTCTCCCACTTTACTAGTGTATTATAATTATTATGTAAAGCGTGTCCATATTTGATAGTAATATAATTCTAAAATAATTCAAATATTACATACTTTTTATCTTGCGTAAAGGAAAAAAAATACATTTTGAAGATTAAGAACTAAAATCAGAATTTAATATTTCAGTCTATTTTATTTATAATATTTGCCTTATGCACGTCGTTAGAAAAATATTACTACTACTACAAAGATAATTTAACTAAAATATTTATTTGTGGATCTCAAGAGAAAACCACTTTTCTCATGTTTTAATTTTAACATCAATTACTTATTTTTTTAAGATCATGTATGATAAAATATTCATATCGATCATTTAACCTTTTTAATAATAAAATAATTCTTTCAATATTTTCCTGCCGGCAAAGCACGTAGAGCCCACAGATCATTTCATCATGTTGAATATTCAATCACAAAATTTTAAAATAAATTAGAAATATACAAGTAAATAAAGAAATATGTACTATAGTATTTTTGGTCTCTATATTATTAAAAAATTCAGATGTGGTCCTATTAATATATAATTCATTGCATTTACTGATTTGCATTTCTTTTTAAAAATTAGGTCAATCACACTGTTATTTAGTCGATATCATGATAGTCTAAATAGAAAAAAAAATGTCTTAATCAAAACACTCTCCAAATTAATAAGGTTAAATAAAAATAGAAAATAGAAAAATATAATGGTAAGGACTTACGTAAGTTGGAGAAAAAAAATTATTTTAATTTTATCATCTGTTGAACGGTATAAATCTTTGGTTCACCTATTATTATCTTCAATTAATTATAGTGTATACTTCGAATCTTTTATGTGAGAAATAAGTAAAACTTAAACTATTTTTAGAAGTATATTAGCCTCTAGTATTGAGTAATAATATAATTTTAATATAACATACTAATATGTAAATGATGAAAGTAAGAATTATTGCTCCCTTTGTTTTAATTTGTTTGTCCTATTATTCTTAGTTCATGTAAAAAATGTCCATTCTTTTTTGTAACTCTTTAATTACAATTTTCAACGTGACATATTTAAAAATCCCTAAATTAAAAAACATTTTGGTACATTCTACCTAATTTTAGTTTTAGAACATACAATTCAAAAGTCTTTTTTTTTTTAATTTCTTAAACTTCATACCAAGTCAAAAACCAACAAACAAAAAAGAGGGAGTAAAATTTTGTAACAAATATTTATAAATTTAAAGAATAAAAAATACACCTGAAATATTTGATTTTTAAAAGTTTCCTACTTAAACTATTAGGTGTTCTGGATATTTCAGATTTAAAAAAAATAACAACTTATAATTGAGGTGTGATTCGGTATAATTCAGGTAAAAGAACTCATGCATCTTACTGTTTAGGTATAAAACTCGAAAAAGGATACTTTATGTGTAAAAGGATTAAAAGCATACTTAAAAGTAATTAAAGGTCAAAATATGTATAATCAATAAGTTGAAGGAGTGAAATTAAAATTTTCAATAATTAAGGGATTAGAAATAGTGTTAATAATAGTTAACAATCAACAGTGAGATTACAGAGAAAAACGAGTGTAGAAGCTGTGTAAAGCAAAACAATATAAACAGATTTCTACTACTGCTATTCCGCCATTTGCCATTTTCTTCCGATTCAGAAATCACACTCTTTTCAATGCCAAAAACGGAATTCAAATCACAAATTCATACAAATTCCGATTAGATTACAATGACGATGGGACGTAGCTCCGGCGACGACAATAAGGATAAGAATGATAACAATGCCATAAGCTCCGGCGGTGGATTTCACTCGATCCGTGACCGTTTTCGTTTCAAGAGAAATTCACAGAGACCGACGGAGACGGTAACGTTGCCGTCTTCTTCTTCTTCGCCGGATCGGCAGTGGAAAACTCTGGCACGATCTCATCATCACCATCACCATAACCGATCTTTTAGTAGGAAGCTGATTTTCTTCTGTTTCAGAGGGAAATGGTTATATTTGTGTATATTTATGGTTATTTTTGTTTTTGCGTTAGCGTCTATGGTGTTACAGAGTTCAATCATGTCGGTGTTTAGGCAAAATGAGAGAGCTCGTTGGAGGTGGTCTGTTAGGGATGATTTGAAGTTAGGGAGTTCATTGGAGTTTGTTCAACCACGGAGGTTTCAGCTTGGTAATGGTTTGGACTTGGTTAGGAATCAGCCTAGAATTGGTGTTCGGCCTCCTCGGATTGCGCTAGTAAGAATTCTATATGCCTGTGTTCATGTTCAAGTATGCGAATTGTAAATGTGTGGTTAATAGTAATATACAATCTCCATAGAACTTAGGAAGCTGTTAGAACGATCGTCATAAAAATGCAGAAGAAAGCAAGTTCAAATATAATGAGTGAACGATTTTTCAGTAAAATTGTAAGTAAATATTTTGTAGATTTTTTTTTTTTTTTTTTTGGTTGAACCTGTAGGATCTAGATGCATGTTAGTGGAGTTTATTCTAGAGCGTTAGAGCTTGGGAGATGATTCAAACTGAAGAATTTCATATCATTGTGTGAATTGTGATAGTGGCAGGATAATGCTCTTACATGCCTGAAACTATAATTTTAGTGTTTGTCTGAATTTGGAGGATATGCTGTAACTTTTTATTTGTTAATTAGTGAGAATAAAATATGAGCACAACATTTTGACATATTTAAGAATATATACAATCCCCTCTTGCTCATTGTTCATGACCCTGTGATCTTTACTTGGTTCCTGCAGTTTTTCAGTTTAGCAGATGTGAGTGATTTTATTTTACATGGATTATACCTTTCCGTTTGCTTTTAAAATGCATAGAGAAAAGATTGATTCTGATTTGGTTGCCTTCATAATATATTATGTCTTCCCTGCTGCTATTTCTATATCAAAATGCACATTGCATTGGTCTCTTTAGCTTCCACTAATTTAACTGTGCTTCAATTTGACTGTGTAAGGTCTTAGGAAACATGAGGAAGGACCCACTG